CCCCAAAACCCCAAAACCCCAAAACCCCAAAACCCCATCCCTTGTTCAAATTTTTGAAACCGTTCGTTTATTTTCTTACTCAACTTCTACAACATCTTTATCCAAAATTCCAAAGCCTCCATTCAGCCAATGCCAGCAGCCAGCCAGAGCCAGGCTGACCAGCCTGGCTCTCTAGGGCTTAATTTGGGCATTTGGAAGGTTTGGGGTTTTGGAATTTTGAGTAAGCTAAGTTGGGAAATTAGGTAAAGAAGGAAAATTAGTCTGGAAATTAGGGTTCAAGTGAGGGAAGTAGGATTTAGAGGGGATTTTGTGAGTGATTTGGAGACGAGGGTTGATTGGTGGTTGGAAAACGACTAAATTACTGTTTTAAGAGAAAATAGTAAGGTCTTCATTCTTTCGGATTTGGTTTATTGACTTGTTTTGATTATTTTTGTGTGATTATGTGATGCCTTAGGCATCAGAGTGGTTATGAAACAAGTCCTAGTTGTTGTGAAAGAATCATGATGAAATATGTACAAGGGAGACAATTAAAGATGATTCAGTTTATCATTAAACCTCCTCATATATTCCAAACTAAGAAACGCACAAGATCAGCTTAAGGTATACTCATGTTAAGTAACATCTTAATGTACCCTAAACTCATTTTTCTAAAATTTCTATAACCCTTATATTGACAGTGCAGTCGGACGTTCTTCGGTTCGTTATAATTTATAACTTCTGAATTATAACCAAATCCGATGAGTACATACACTTAGATCTGAACAGAATGAGCAGTACTTGGCAGCAGGAGTAACTCAGGCTTTCTAATGCAGAGATCTTTGCCTGCATCAGCCAATCGGAAACAAGACCCTTTGTAGCAGCCTTCGAGGAAACTTATTTAAAGAGGAAATTTTAATCATTAATTAATTAAAAATGAACAATAATTACATTAATAGTACAGCTCAAGAAGACATGACTCACTGTGATGAAGTTAGGTTTTTCTTTGATGGTAAGGCACCAACAGATACTTCTATGGCAATGAGGGATGATATCATAGTGTTTGGGCTCTGATTATTGCTTAAAAGTATTGGGTATTAGCAAAGGGCTTGTGGAGTAATTTAGATACTTCTCATATCTCATTAGGTATTCTGCCTAGCTATTATCTTCCAAAAATTGCACTTTTTCAAGAGAATCCTATATACCCAAGGCTGAGGAGGCTAAGCTTAGATGTCTAGAGTAACTCATCTACTGAATCTTTCCAAACACTTTCTCCCTTTTCATTTTTGTATTTCTTTTGTAATTCTGTTAATCTGCACTTTGCAAACCTTCATGTGGCACTAATGCTAAACATATTGTTGCTACAATGGTCTAAGTGATAAAAGAGCTCATACAGGCAGAACTGCAATTTTCTGGAGATTATTCCATGAACAAATGAGCTATACTTAAAGTTTATGCAAAATCTACAGCTCGCATTCAGCTCGAGCTCTATTTTAGATATTTAGTTATATTTACTTCCATCTGTTTTTGAGATTTGCTTAATAATACTTCATAGATGCTCAACTTCACGCCTCTGATAAGACATATGACTTGAGCATTCTCGGTCACAACGATAACAGTGGGTATAACTTCTCAGAAATTACTTGAAGCCCATTCCCAGAAATATACGAATGTGATCAGAACTCTTCTGATGTAAAGGTTGATAACCTGCAAAAGTATGACCAAGGCGAAGATTTTGGCTTAGATTTCCTATTGAATCCTTCTCCTGAGAAGTCTGAAGCAGTGATCAAGGATACCAAGACGGATACAGCTGAAGGAGACCAACTACTCAATAGTGTTAAGATTGAGGATGATCAAGAAGCCTGGGACAATATTATGAGAACCAAGACCAGGAGGTTCAACAGCTCTGCAAGAGATAAGGTACTAAACGAGAATGCATCTGAGTCTTCATTGATGAACAAGAGATGGGGACTCCAAGAAGACAAGAATCTCTGAAAAGTGATCAAAGATTTAGAGAATAGAGGAATCTTGGATCTACAAAAAGTCCTTAATCTTGGTATCATCAAGGATTCTAGCCTTCATCCTGAGCTAGAGCTTCTTGCAGAGATGCTTAAGTGGAGGAACCCATTAAGAACTTTGGTCTCTCGTATCAAGAAGTTATACTGTAAGTTTCCTTTGTTCATCCCAATAGCGAGAGGATACAGCAAGAGAGAAATAAAGAGACTTAAGAAGAAGCTCAAAAGTTTTCAAGGAGTTGAAGATATTGACTATGAAGCACTTCTATATGACTTCCCAGGGAAGACGATGAAGGACTTTGTTCCTCTCTGTGAGAGCCTCACTAGGTGCATCTGGAATAAGACCCTCAGCAAGTTTGAACTAGCTGACAGAGTATAATAATTATTTCTAAGTTTTAAGTAAATTTCTTTCTGAAAGAAGACCCTGGGATCTTACATAAATTCTTTCTGTTATGATTTCGAAATCTAAGTTCCATCCCTGTAGGGATCCCTTGGAGTTTATCTGCATTCCATAGGGAAGAAGAGACCTAGTTTAGATAGCAACTCCTATGGATTATGCAGCCTTACAGTATGAGGTTTCGGGAAATCATAAGTTACCCTTTTGTGCCTTCAGAAGTTAAGGATTTTTAGATCAGTACACCAGGCATTCAATAACGACTAGACTAATTTTCTAATTGAACTCAGAGAAGTTACAAAATCTATACTGACCAGAATAGTCAGAGATTCTATTTCGTAGTTTTCTTGTCAATACTAAAGACTTTCTGCAAAGTGCTCTCCTCTTCTTCAACATTTTGGGTATTTCTGTGTGATTTGGGAAGTTATAAAAACTGACATTTCTATTAATTTTAAATTTGAGAAAAAACAAAATTAAGAGGTTGGCATGATGAGCTAGTCTTTTAGTCTTATTCTACAGTTTTAATACTATCAGTATAGCCTCATTCAAGTCTTGTAGGTGTCTAGATATGATTTGAGTGCCTCTCCTAGCGAGATTATCTGGCAAAATATTCCTTCTTTATTTGGAGAAAGATCAGAATTTCCTTCTGTCTTATGACAAATGCTGCCTCAAAACTGCCACTCAGCTTTAGTTAAGAGAGTCCATATACAGTTATTAGCTATTTTAAAGACTTGATTGCCAGAACACCTTATGGCTTTGATCTCCAGGGTTATCCAAAAGAAAAGTGAAATGAAATAGCAATTAGCAGTACAATCTTCTTTCTGACATGTAGACCTCAAACGAAGGATTATCAACCTGGAATAAGACCGAGAGGTTGCTCAAGTATGTCTAAAGACTTATTGAGAAAGGATCTAACTGCTAGTTCATGGTTCCATTAAAGTACCAAAAATCCAGCCAGGATGTACCTTCTCAGATCGATTGTAAAATATGTCGTTTTTGGCATACTTTTGATTTCAACTATTTAGAACACCTCTGGGGTTTTGGGGTTTTGGGGTTTTGGGG